ACAGCCCCTAAACTTCAACATACCAGCATAGATGTGATAAGAGTGTAAGGAGTAATCTTACACATGCATAAGAATTAAACCATGCCTTTCATTAGCCTACATTCTTAGCTAAGTACCATGGAATATTTAAAACAGGTTTAATAGCATGTATTTGGACTGAAGTAAGCTAAAATCTAACAACTAGCCATGATTCCAGCATTAAATGTCATCAGTAAAAAAGACCCCCCCCCCCCCCCCCCATGCATGCATTCCCCTATTTTAATGTCTCCAGCATGTGTCAAGCAGGGAAGAAGAGTAGAAGAGAGGAAACATACCTTTCTCGGGCTTCTATAATCAACAAAAGAAAGCCACGACACTCCTAAACCTAAAGTTCACAAGCAAAGCCACAACACTCCCGGACTCCAAGCTCACAAGCACCTAGCCGAGAAGAAATTTCCGCAGAACCTCCCCAGGCCTCAAGCTTCGTAACCTCACAGAGAACTCCCCACCGATTTTCAAAATCCGTAAACCCCCACACAAAACACCCTCGCAGGGAAGGAAGAGAGGCTCGCGGGACAACGCAGCCGAGGCCACAGAGGAGGGAACCATCGGGAAGGAGGAGAGTTTCCCCATTCGTGACCTAAGGAACAAACGGGCAGGGCCAACTTACCTCAGCGAGGATCGAAGGATCACAAAGCCCCTCCTCGCTCGACAAGATGAGGCAGGCGATGCTTCGAGAAGAGGCATCTCGGGCAGAGGATGTCGGGCGAGGAGTCAAATGCAAGGCTAGGGCTCCGCCTGGGCTGGCTCGCGACCGGGAAAAAGAGGTAGTTCGGTCGGATTCGGCTTGGGTAGCAAATGGGAGGAAAAGTGCGGACAGGGTGTGAGTGAGTTAGAGATTTAAGAAAATAAACCTCTCCCTCGGCTATATAATACAAATATAACCCCGCTATAATATATATGATGTTAAATTTGTTCGATATGCGCACCTCTCGCTCGTGCACAAAATCATATTGAAGTGGGAGTCCTTCCTAACAAAAATCGACGTTCCGGATGCATCGGCGCGGTCCGTTTTGTCATCCGGACGACCTCGCCGCTAGTCAGGTCGGAAACGCATCAAATTCGTATTTCGTCAAAATAATCGCTTGTGATCGATCATGGAGCCTCCTACAGGTGTGGGAGACGTGAATTTCAACAATTGTGTGCGTCGACATGTGCACTATGGTATTCGTGCATCGATAAGTGTGCGCGGACGACACGAAGTGTTTCCTAAGGCTTTAGATCTTAATGGTACTCAACTCGAGCTTCGTCGCGCTGGTTTAATCGACTCAACTAAGCGTTCAGGATTTAGAACCGGAACACAGCGAAGAGATTACCCTGATCGAATGGGTAATCCGGAGAAGTTCGCATTTTCAAAAGCTAGACCTCTAAGAGAGTCGATAGGAAACCCTAAGGCTAGATCATAGACTCTAAGAAGAGGAAGCGACCTCACCTAAAATGAGGTCAACAAGGCGATCATCATAATCCAACCTTCTTTCCATACAAGCAATTAGCCCTTGCTTCACCCCTTCGTCATTAGAAAAATTGTCTTCAGAACGGGATTAAGGGTTTAAATAATAACCAGCTACATGTAGTAGTTTATGAAGTTTAACTTCCCATCTTGCATCAATCCTCCATAAATGTTTATACTTCTTTTCATTATGCCCACAATTAAAAATAATTTTTTCTTTTGTTGAATTCATTAACTCATAAATATAACTCATGTTTTGTCTTTCTTCTGAGTCAACCTCTCTTAAAACATTAATAAGCGGTACAACACTTTTGATACAGTGAGTAAGATGATCCCAAAAAAAGGATCAAACAAAATAACAAATTAAGCTTTTATATCATTTGTCTTCTCAACTCATTAATTAGAACACCAAGCTTCTGAGGAGAACATTGCCTGGAGTAGTCGCTCCTGCCTGTAAATGCTTTGAAGGAATATGCAGTAGCAAATCGTGTGATGGTTGGACAAATGAGTTTACTCTCTTTTGTAAATGATCTCATCAAGTCAAAAACCCATGTGTGCCCGTATAAGAATTTATCAACTTGTTTTTCTTTTACAAGCATGCTTTCTTGAATCTTCAACTTTCTAATATCTTCTAAAATTAGGTCAATATAATGTGTTGCACAAGGTGTCCAATAAGTATGTTGTCTTTTCCCATTTTTTTTACTGGTGTTCAGATAATTTGACCCACTATCTGATATAATTTGCACCATATTTTTTCTCTTACTTCCCCAATCACGTTACTCAAATAAGCGAATAACAACTCGACACTCTTTATTACATTAGAAGCATTCACAGATTTAATAAAAAAATCTCAGTTGAACTCTTAACAGAAAAATTAATCAAAATTTTACTTTTTTCATTTGTCCAACTATTTTGATATAATCGAGCAACCATATTCACTTCATGATTTCTTATGCTCCTCTAACATCTTATTGATTGTAGCAACTTTATCTTTGAGCATCCAAATTTTTAATTCATGCATTATATCTGGAGTAAAATCAAGTCCAAAGTTAGCAATTGCTTCAAACATAGAGATGTAATATGGCTAATTAGCAACATTAAATGTCAATCCAACTGAGCATCTTTTCATCAATCTTTTTTACACTTAGAATTTAGAGTAGAATTTCTTGCTTATGTTATGGTAAAAGAATACATTAGACCTCTAACTTTGTGGCCTCTAAGAGGAGTCAAGTAATGATGAATTGGTGGCATTTTGACTTTCCCTAGCATTTGTTTCACTACTTATAATGTCACATTGCGCATTTACTTTTGCATCTTCTTCTAATGTTTTCTTGTATATCTCTTGAACTTCTGTGGGGCCTTTAGCGCATGATTTAATGTCGTTATATGCGCTGGCAAGATTTTTGTCATCCTGTTTAATGTTCCACTGCACACTCGAATGCAAAACTTACATCTAAAATACTTGTCATTGAGTGTGTTTGTTGTATATTGTCATGCAAAGTCCTATTTGCTAGTGCAACCACTACCGGTTACACAATCCCCCTTCCATTACAAGTTAATAATGGACTTTACACATTAAAATAAAATAAAAAAATTAAATCAAATTCACCTTTAACAAACATGAAAAGTTTGTCAATGAGTTAATGGATTGTGTGACCTCAAGCAAACATGAAAAAAATAGATCAAATTCACAGATTTATTGCAGCTACAGTGAAATTACTATAGTTGTGTTGAAGTTATTATAGCTACAGTAAACTCACTGTAGTACAGAGAAATAATCCATTAATAACTTTCTAAAATAATAAAAATCGCATCGTTTACCAAATGAAACCATGTAGGTAAGAAGCAGACAGCTGCGGAAGAGAAGAGGGTGCGAGATCTTATGTGTGCAAGAGAGGAAGCCCATGTGTAGGTGTTGGAGAGATCCAAATTCGTCTTTCTAGAACTTAAGATCTAACCATAGGGTTTTCCTTTTGACTATCCTGAAAGACTAGTGACGAGGCCCACCTCTTTAGGAGTTTTAACCACTTCTTGACTCTTTTATGAAGTTTCACATGGGTGGTCTCAAATCCTCAACACTTGGTTGAGTTGATTAAGACTAACATGATGAGGCTCAAAAAATAGTTCATATATGGTCATGACACCATAGGAAGACCCTTTGTGATTTGGGGACTTCACCTAATCCTCACTCACACATACACTTCACATTCATGAGCATATCACCACATTCACACACACTTAATAGTATACACATTCACACTATCACTTCACATCACCACACCCTACACTCCATCACAACCCTAATCCACCCAAAATCCAAAATTACCAATTTTACCCAAAATTACCAAAAATGCCCAAAATTGTCCAAATTACCCAAAACACTCAATTTTCCACCCTAAATTCCCAAAGTTACCCAATTACCCTAATTTTCATCAAAATTGCCCAATTTACCCAATTATCCTGATTTTCACCAAAGTTGTCAAAATTGTCAAATCCACTTCAAATTCACCTCAAATCCATCAAAATTCAAAAAAACAAAAGTCTAAGCCCACCAAATTTCAAGCCTTAATTCAAAATCACCAAAGCTCAAATTCAATTCCACCCAAGTCCACCCCAAGTCCAAAATCCAAAATCCAAATTCACCAAGCTGATGTTCCAAAATTCCATCATGACAGATTTAAAGTTTCATTGAGCCCATCATGATCAATCTCAAACCCACCAAAATCCATCATCCAAGCCCAAGAAGCCAACCTCTCTTAGCTCATGCCAAAAGCCCACCAAAGTAAGCCCAATTTCTAAATCCATTTAGACCCAAGTCCACATGAAAAAAAAATCAGCCCCCGCATTTGATTTTGATGGTGAAATATTCTATGATTAAATTGGCTAAATTTGGAATTCATAAAAAATCCCTTCAAAACTTGAAATTCTCACCATCTCCTTTAGTGCAAGACATGAAGGTCATGCATGAGCCATGGGCAAGCCATATGGCTTCATCCAAGCCATATGGAAGCCATCTACAAGCCTCATGTGAGCCACCTTGCCATTTATAGCTAAAGGATGACCTACTTTCCACTCTTGAAAAAAAGCATTTTGAAAAAAAGCATTTAACCACTCACCACTCCAATGATTCACTTAAACCCAAAATTAAGCCCTAAGCTCATGATGGGAACTTTTTCACTCACTCCTAGTATTCAATCATTTTGTATTTATCAATAAAATCATATTTCCCTTCGATCAAATTCAAGAAATCTTTTAGATCAGGCAGTCCAATTCACATGTAATCTTAAGCCGTTTCAAGTAGTTCGCCAAGCTCTCTTAAACTCTGATGTTCCTTTAGGTCAATGGAGAGATTAAAGTATTCAAAAGCAAAAAAATTATTAAAGCAAGGTCATGTGATTGTAGAAGCCCATGAAAGATGACATATTGTCAACTAGAAAAAAAGGCTCTATCAAACAATTCAATCAGAAAAGCATAAATACAATACTATCATTGATAAAAAATTGTATCTCACCAAACGAATAGCTTCATCAATGACATTTTTGTATCCTCTCTTGAATCGGTGATGCTTTCCTCCTTTAAGATTGCAAAAATTATTTAATCTTATATTTCAAGAAGAATGTGTAGACCAAACGATCACTTACCAAGTTTCTTTTCGATAAAAGTTGTCAAGCCGTCTGAAGTCACACTGTCTGTAACAATAGTCGTTCCAGGATGCTTCATGGAAGTAAGTGCCATCAAGATAAGACATGATATTGAAAATTAAAGTAATAGCATCAGCAAACATTAAAAAATAACAAAGAACATACTTCCTCAAGTACAATAGCAGACATCAAAGCAATCAATCTATTGCGATTAAACTCAGAACCAGTAGAATCCACAGCAGCTGACCTGAAAGAATAGTTGCAGTGGGTTAAAATAACAAGAACAACAATGATAGCATTTTGAAGTAATTATTAGAGAAATTTACATACGTAGAACACAATTCTTATGTATTAACATATGCCACACCTAAACTTCCATATTTTAATACATAGAACTTTGATGCTTTAAATCTATGCATGAAAAGGTGTGTTTTACTTTTAAAAAGTGGTAATAGAACTATTTTTTATGTGCTATTAAAGATTTGACTGCTATATTTGAGTGCTATGTGTGTAAATATAAAGTTTAGATGTGAGATATGTAAATACATAAGAATTGTGTGCTATGTATGTAAATCCCCCAAATTATTTTTGCACTTCAAAAGATATAAACATAAAAAAAAACAATACTAGAACCTGTCCACGTCGGTATCAAAGATGATGCCCAAATCAGCTTGATTATCAAGGACTGCTTGAATTATTGCTTTCATAGCTGCTTTGTCTTCAGGGTTTGGAATGTGATTGGGAAAGAAACCTGATATCAACCATAATATACAAATATGACCACTTTGTTGTTAGGAGTGTAAATTTTTTTTGTAAAGATTCTACCATTAGGATCCAAGAACTGACTGCCGGATGTAATTGCACCCAGAGGTTGTAGTACCCTATCCTGATACAAAGCATTTTTAGTGCATAAGAAAGTTCAGAAGTGAACTGAGCTGACAAAAGTTTCAAGGGAATTTTACATGCATACCACACAATTCTTATGCATTTACATATCTAACATCTAAATTTTCATAATTACATTTATAACACTTGTGATAAACCTATGCATGAAAAGGTGTATTTTACTTTTAAGAAATCAGTGGCATTTTTGATGAAATATTAAAGATTTGAGAGTTATGCATGTAAATATTAAAGTTTGAGTGTTAGATATGTAATACAAAAGCATTATGTGGTAAGTATGTAAATGCCAAGCAATCAATAATATAAATGCATTCCAATGGATTCTCCAAGGCCATATTATTTTAGTTAACACACATACCGGGACAACAAATATCAAATTTGCACACTCCAAACTTAACTTCCGGATAAAATAGGATGGTAAGATAAGTAGAATACAACTAAGATAATATAAACCGAGTGGGGAAGAATGACACCTATAGATGGTATAGTTGAAGATGATATATGTTCTTTTATTGAAGGAAGGAATACATCAAGCTCTAACTTTTACCCAAGAAAATATGTTCATACATGTAATTCTACGTTTTACCAAGGCAAATACGTCCCATACCGAAGAAAAGCAGACAAAAGAAGTAGGATCGGTTTTCACCGTAAAGTGACAGTAACGGATGTGCTTTATCAAGAAGTACAAGCAGTAAATGGAGATGCAGAATAGAACAATAAGCAAAGACATACCAGTAATTGTTCATTTGCTAATATTATGGTCTAAACATATTAGGGGCATTTACATACTACCCAATTCTTATGTATTTGCATGCCTAACAGCTAATCCAATCTGTCATTTCACATGAAAAAAAAACCACCATTTTAACTGTAAAAAGTAAAATACGCCTGATCATGCATGTGTAAGTTGGCATGCATGTAAAAATTAAATTTTAGGTGTTAGATATGTAAATACATTAAGACTTAAGTGTTATGTATGTAAATCTTCCAGCATTTGTATCAAGTATTTCAAGTCAATGGCGACATTGGAGGAAGCATTGTTACTAAAAAAGGACACTTGAGAGCAATAAAAGGAGTTTTACAGTTTGAGCCATAAACCATGTCCTGCCATTACAATATGCAAATACAGGGAATGCATTTCTTATGTTCTTTAAAAATCTAAAAGCTATAAAAATCAGATCAAGAACTTTTCTGAAATAAATCTATATCATTTGACCATATTTATCCCTATTCAACGATGCAAATTTCTAACTCCACCAATCTTCACGATTTTACTTCGTTACTTGTCCTGATATCATCATTAAAGACTCTACAAATAAATCAAATGCCATTGCCTGGATAAAATTTCATATTTGGATATTAAACCTGCGGTTAAATAACAGCACCTGCTTTATATAAATTATTACTCTCAACACAACAGAAGAATATCTTGGGAAACTAATATTATTGAAAAAATCATGATGGGTAAAATAATAAAATCTGACTCACAAAATAACATAGATTAAATCAAAGGACATCACTATCAATAATTGCAAATAAGAAAAGATTAGCAATAACATGCATAGTGGTTTGATAAAGAAGAAAAGAGGAGTAATGTTACCGCGAAGAATCCACCAGCACCATTACCCGCATCAACAACTATGTGGAATTCCTCTAATGGCTTCTCTGCAAGTTAGGATGACAGAAAATATTTACTTCAAGTAAATAATACAAATTAAACTAACTGCAGGATTGTTTGCATATCAGAGATATCTTATCTAAAAATATCAATGCTAGAATCTTCCTTTTTATTCTAAATCTTTCAATCTCAGGAGTTGTCCCTTGCAAAGCAGCAATTGAAAAAAAGGAGGAAGATTTACATACATACCATTCAATTCCTATGTATTTACATATCTAACATTTAAATTTCAATTTAAAAGGTGTGTTTCGGCTTTTAAAAGTTAAAGTGGTGAAATTTTTTTATGTGATATAAGAGATTTGGGTGGTATAAATATAAAAAAGTAAAATTTACGTGTTAGCTATGTAAATACATATGAATTAGGTGGTAATGCATGTAAATGCCCCAAAAAAGGAATGGTGCTTCATCGGTTAAGGAAATATAAAAATTGGCAATACAATTGTATAAATCCATCAGTGAAAATAATACCTATATTTCCAGCAGCTTTGCGGACCGCCTTTACAAGATCAGAAGTATAGACTGTCATGTATCCAATCTTTTTATAAGATAGAGATCTATCCTGTACGGATTCCTTCAAACTTCTAGGTGAGAATTTCTCATATATAACTCCAGCCAGCTCCAAGATTTCTTTGATGTCAGCTTTACCCAATCCACCGGTATGTGTAAAAAATTTGAACCCATTTCGATTGTAAGGAAGGTGGCTGGCTGTATACGAGAAAGTTTCAACAGAATATAAATAACTTCATAATATTTAATAAAGAAAATTACTTTTATAATGTAAATTTAAACCTTGAAAGGAGGCATGCATATATTTAGTGTCTATTTTCCCATTTTTTTTAGATTGCGTTAAGGAAACAATGTTTTGTAAGATTATGCAAACAAACTCTAAAGCAACCAAGTTTTTAATGCAGCTCAAACTTCAGTAATTTTGAGGATTCTGCATTAAAAAGATTGACAGCGCTGAAATGGAAACAAAACTGGATAAGCAGTAGAAGTTAATGCTACGGAAAGAATGAAAATGCACATTTCCTAAAGGATAGGCCCTAAATCCATTTGACATTTAATTGATTTCTTTAAGTTGTAGATGTGAATATACATTATATGCAAACAAAAAAGAAAGAAAAATAGGATATGGCCCAGCTAAAAAAATATGAGCTTTTCTAGTGCCTTGTCTTTCCATTATATTTTCAGTTTTAACCTAAAAAAATAGTGTACCTAATGCACGAAGCTCCTCTAGCATAGGGTCTGGTGAGAGGTTGTTGCATGCAATTGTTGATAATTTCAGCTTTGAACTCCCTAAATATTGATCAATAATGCTGCGCACCAATATCGACCATTTGTCGGTCATCTTTTTCGATGTTTGGATTTTGAAAATATAATTTTCAAAAATTTAATTTAAATATAAGGTATATAGTCTAGATTATGAAAGTAGTGTTTTAATTTTTTAGAAAATGAAACCGAATGGATCTCATTAGTCCAATAATTTGCATAATCGTGTCTGGCACCCTGAATACTACACATTCCAAGAGAAAAGTGTAGACCCCGGTAATAGGCTCAATCCTGCAAACTAAGAGATTTGTGACATTCATTTGGTCTGCGAACATTTTATATATGACCGATAAATTCTCCTATTTAATACAAAGATTAAATAGGGTTTATTTTACCAGGGTTCCAAGTTCCCTATAGAGGCAAGCCCCTATAGTTAATTACCTCTCAAATGTCGAGAGTCACTTGAGAAAACTCTCGATGATGATTAGTGGTTCTAGTCTTCAAGATTTCAAAGTTTAAGTATTCAAGGTATGACGTGAAAAAAAAATAAGTGGGAGTGGTTCAAGTGGGAACAGTTCTTTCAGGAGTCCAAAAGAACTAAAGGGAAGAGTACGTCGCAGATCCTGAGGAAGAACCTCAGTGACTTCCCAAACTATCATACTGTACGGCTATATGAATGTTGAATCCTGTTAATTTTATTATTTGAGACTTACACTTGCATAATAACTCGTTATGCAAATAACCCGCAGAGATAAGAGGTTTTACGTCGTTCTAGACGACAACCTCAGAACTTAAGGCGAGTTAGGACTTACGCTGCACAACATGATTGTGCAGAGGCCTAAAAGAGGGTGAGGATTTACGTCACGCTAGGCGAACTACCTCGAAGTCCTATGAGTTGTTTAAACTAGGAATGTTTAGCTGGTGTAAACTCGTTTTGCTGTTGTAGAATGACAACCACCTCCACTTGTAGTCCGCTCCAAACTCCTTGTCGCGCTGCCCACAAAGTTGCTCCAAATTCCTCGTCGAAGTAGCAGTCCTAAAGTCTAAGGTTCAAAAGGTTGTACCAAGTGTGTTTCAAGTTTTGGTTTTGTTGTCATTAGGGAAGGTTAAAGTTTATTAGAGCGACACCGGTTAGGATCCCACGGTTCTCTCGTTCAGGTATCACTATTTCTTTTAAACTTAATTTACACGAGTTGTGAAACTCATTTAAACCGGGAAGATCTCGCTAGCAACCGTGGGTCACCTCCTCCAAGGGACTCCCGTAAATTCGAAAAAACGTGTTATTTTTTGTTTTTTTTTTGTTTTGAAAATACTGTCTAATTTTGAAAAATCGTTTTGTTTTGAAAGTGAAATTGTATTCAATATCTGCATAATGTGTTACAACAAAAATAAATTGCAATGATAAAATAACAACAAATAAATACATGTGTACGTAACGTATATGTTACTGCTATCCCTGTTGTAGGTTTAACTCACAAAGCACAATATAATTTACAGTGAATTTAAGTAAATTGCATATAACAGAAGAGAACAGTAAGCAATAGAACAAATCGTAGCAACAGTTAGGAACTTCAAACAGATGATCCTAAGGTTTCCTACAACTCCTGACTGCAACTAGCGAACTAGTGTGGTGATCCTACGACCTCCTATGATTCTGGGAAACAACTAGCAAGTGTGTACAGTAATCCTACTACTCCGGACAACAGCTAAGAATTTCGAATAACGTCTGTATGAGTTCCTATGAACCCAAACAGCAATGGGCAGCACCTAGATGGCTTCCTACGAACTCAACAGTGGTGGACAGCTTCCAGCACCTAGTGGCTTCCTATGAACCCAAATAGTGGTGGACAGCTTCTAGGTGGCTTCCTACAAACCTAAATAGTGGTGGACAGCTCCTAGGTGGCTTCCTATGAACTCAAACGGTGGTGGACAGCTCTTAGGTGGCTTCTTATGAACCCAAATAGTGGTGGGCAGCTTCTAGGTGGCTTCCTATGAACCCAAACAGTGGCTTTGGAGCCTTGGACAGCACCCTACAGCACTTCTTCTACACCGGGCAGCGGCTAGAAGCATTGGGCAGTGGTCCTACAGCACTCTTATACTCTAAACAGTGGTTTTGGAGCCTTGGACAGCACCCTACAACACTTCTACGACACCAGGCAGCGGCTAGGAGCATTGGGTAGTGGTCCTACAGCACTCCTACGACACCAAGCAGCGGCTTTGGAGCCTCGGACAGCACCCTACAGCGCCCCTATACTCCAAACAATGGCTTTGGAGCTCTGGACAACACCCTAAAGCGCTTGTACGACACCGAACAGCGGCTTTGAAGCCCTGGACAGCAGTTTTAAATAGCCCAAACAGCAGAGGAAACATCCTCAAAACAGTCCCAAAAGGCAATTTAAAAGTCCTAAAATCCCTCTTTAAAACAGTGATAAAACCTCCCCGGAATGGTATTGTTTATTCCTCAGGTATACTCTTGTCGATGTGGCACATATTTGAAAATCCATTCGTCGAAAAACTCTTTCCATACTACGGGCAATGGTACTCACTTTACCAATTTGTTAACCGGCTCACTTCCGAGAACTCGAGGCAGGAAGACTAAATAGGACGTCCCTAGCACTTTTGCCCTTTTGTGAATTTTTGGTTTTTTGTCTTTATGTATCTTTGTTTTATTTGGGTTTTTTGTGTGTTATATTGTCTGAGTTGGGCTTTCTTTTAGACCCTCTCATACAACATTTCTATATATTCTCCTCTTTAGGATTTTTCAATATATATATATATATATATATATATATAATTTATTTTATGATAAACTAAGGTAGTGATAACTTTAATTTAGTTTATATTTTATTCCAAAAATGTAATAATTAGGATTTAACATATATGTAAGATAATAATAATAATAATAATATGTCACTTATGTTACACCTAATTTAATAAATAATTATGCTTAATGTCTTTAATCGCAAAATTATTTATATTTTGAATTTCACTGTGGAACCTACTAATTATCCTCTGGTGAACCCATAATAAATTTGGAGTTTAGTGCTCATCTCAAGTAAGTAATTATTATTTGTTAGGCATAAATGTACCTTTTTCATTTTTGGGGCCGTTATCATTACTACTTGTATTAAATTTATACTTAACTTCGTAGGATTGTTAGTCTCACCCTTTTTACTTCATTTATAACTCTTTTCACACTTGTTATAAAATTCATTATTGCTCATAATGAAATAATTATATATTTCATTTTATTGTAGCATGGCTTCTTCCATATGTGATTAATCCCGCAAGTATAATGCTTTCTTTTCTGACATGTTATTATTATGGATTGCAATTAAACCTCTTCAGCGTTGTAATCATGTTTAAAATAATAAATATACTTGCCCTACTATTTAAATAAAATTCCATTAAGAATTTGGAAATTGTATGCTTCTTATGATGGTTTGTGTAACAGTTATGTTACATGGGGGAGGGGAAACGAATAATCAAGAAAGAGGAAAGGAGAGGTCAAGGAAGCAAACAGAAAGAAGACGAAGTGAGGAGGTAACTGAACAGAGAGGAGAGAAATTGAGGAGACGGAAAATGAAGGGACATCTTCGTGCTATAAATTGAAGAGTAAGGAGACCAGCGAGATCGTGAGATCGACTTACCTATAGAGTCGAACGGAGTTTAGGGCTTCCCTGAGCTTTGATTAACTGGGGGCAGCATCAGTGGCTGGCGAGGACATCTTTGTTGAGCGAAGGAGGAGGTCGCGTTGTTACCGTGCAGAGGAAGAGGAAGCGGAAGGAAGAAGAATTGTGCGAAAGAGCCAAAGAGAAGAGGAAGAAAAGAGAAGTGAACATTTTAAATAATAAATTAATTTCTATACTCATGTTTATTGTAAACTTAAATTTTAAGAAGGGTCGAGGATAAAATAAATTCAAGACAGATCAACTAGCAAATTAAGCGTCATCGAGGTGAGTACTCATACTTTTAATCTATATAAATAATTTATTTCATCTCAAATATTTTGTTGTTGATGATTTATGTACATGTTTTATTCTAATTGAAATATTATTTTCTCTATTAGTCATATTGTTACAAATTTTGTAGCTACTTACTCTCATAGTATATGTTTTATATAGTACATTGAATTAAATGCGATGAATACATAGCTGACCTTTTTATGTTGACTGTTTGTACGTGCATTACTAACTATGATGAAGTCATTCATTGATGGTACTAATACATAGCTGACCTTTTTATGTTGACTGTTTGTATGTGCATTACTAACTATGATGAAGTCATTCATTGATGGTACTAGTGGGGGAACATTAAAGTATCGTACATGTATATGAAAAAGATATTGATATTGATCTGTCTTAATTGGCACAGTTTTTACACGATGCTCCTGTGACGGATGCACATATATAATGATATTGATATGAGTTCTTTGAATAGCTTTAAATATTTTTATTGATTTATTGAAAGCTTGACTTGCATGCATATTGATTCATTTTCTCTTTTATTACTGTGATTTATGAATATGAGTATTCACTAGCTCATTTAGCTCACAATTGGTTTAAACTAACTTTTCAGATTAATTAAGTGATTAACGATGAACGTTAGAAGATATAACATTTATAGAAGATGCTGCGGACAACCAATAACGAGATAATTTTAAATATATTATTTTAATTTAAATTGATTAGTGACTCGTTCAACTGTTGAATGATAGATAAATATAAAAAATTTAATTTACCCCGTCCGACCGTCTGTACCTGTCTTGGTTAAGCCAAGGCTCGGGTAGGGTCGTGACATTTTGTAGGTTAGTAGAACCCTTTTAGATATTGGCTAATTGACTCATCAAGCCCAAAGAGTGACGACACTACAGGAAACCGTAGGTCTTTCATTGGTTGGTATTTACCTTCTCAATTTCAAGGTATCTAAACAAATTGATTATATATAAATATAAATTGAAATTGAATAACAAATAATTGTTAAATTGTATTCTATTAAGACTGCTTCAATTTGATGTTACTACATTGATTGTTAATGATTTCAAATTTCACTAAATGGATTGAGCATGTTCATATTATTATCCTTTATAGTATTATATATGCATATAGTGAATTGCCCCTCTTTATTGTTCATACTACCTGCCCCGACCCATTATCATTTATGCTTTAATAAATAGTGATTATTTAATGAATTTGATTTCAAACTCCCTTCGATATTTTTGCATAACAATCACTCGGAGGACAATCTCCACAAAAGCTAATATTTTTGCTTTAGACTTTCGTTTCGGAATTTTTCGATATTTGAATTAGCTGTTCTTTTTTATTTCAGGAAGTTGTTATCATTTCAAGTTTTATTTCAGTTAGTTTCTTATTTTTCTTTCAGTTGTAACAGTTTAACACTTATTTATAAAATAAAATTCATCTTTTTTTGCTTATACTAGTTATTACTTGTATACAATTTTTTCATTTGAGAAATCAAATTTGGTCTTATTCATTTTATCGCGCCCTATGTTGTCGGAGTGCACCACCCTCCGAACTCAAGGTGTGCCACTTCGAGCCAAGAACTGGCGACCCATTCAGGATTTTAAAGAAGAATAATAACAGCACATACAAGATTAACCTACTCGAGATTATAATATCTCTGTTATTTTTAACAACACCGATTTGTCACTGTTGTTTTATAAGGATTTGGGTGCTTTTAGTGAAGAAGGCAATCCCTCTCCTACCGAGGACAACAAAGCAAGAGTCTCTTGTTCCCACTACCAAACGGACCCAAGAAGGGGAAAACCAATCAAGAAGAAACCGGTTCAATCAATCACCAAGTGCTGGTTGGACGCCTTAATAGGGAGTCCTATTTACCTTATTTAGCCTATTATTAGGGTATTTTTACTTTGAAATATATAAATATATTATTAACTCCTAATTTTGCAACTTTAGTTTTTGTTTATGCATTTTTAGATATTGTTTTCTTTAAGTTTCTACCATAAAAAGGAGTGATGGAACTTTTTCCAAATGGAGTGTATAGCTTGTCCGAGAATAGGTGGTGGAACTAACGTAACATTCGTACTCTCCGAAATCACCATTTTCGCTGTGTTTCCTACCGTATTTCTCTTGGACAGCAGCCAGAACTATTCTTTCGCTATACAATCTTCACCAACTTACATGTTCTCTTCTTTTTGCAATTCTATAACATCTCCCTGTTAGATCCGATCATCAAACAATTTCAAGGAACCCTAGAACTGTCGGTCAAAATGCTATATATTGATGTTAAACTAAAAATACTATGTCAAAGAGTAATCCTTAAGCCTACATTCAACATTTAAAGCAATAAAATTGCAACCTTGGACTCCTTAGGCATACCTGTTATCATTATGGAACCATCAACCGGGCATAAAAATTCTTCATTTTCTGAAATAGTGCTGTTGAACATCGCTGGAGTAGAAGCCAATCTGTAAACAATTACCAAGGGATAAATAAGGTATATTTAAGATAGTATGCTTCAATTCAATTCCTAAATGTCATAGGAACATTTCAAATCAAGGTTCTAACAATAAGTATAGTGATAAGACATTCAAATAAAGCAGAACATGGGTGCGCCCAATTAATGGGGCTCCCAACAATGAGAGAATTGGGGAAGAGTTAAAATTCACATCCTTCCTCAGGATCGCAAAGAGGTTGATATATTGCGGCATGAAACACGCTCAGAAATATCATTCCTTCACTGAACACAATATTCACAACCAAATGTAGAACAATTGGTTTAGAAAAAGCTTCTTTACTCACCCATAATGAACAACATCTAGTCCAGCACCCGCAAGTCCAAGAGAAATGGCATCCTGGAGATTCAGATTTCAGTAATTAAATTCCCAGCCATATTGATGGCAAAGTTAGTCAACTTCCAAAATTGAGTTTCTTGAAATTGTAAAGTATATCAAGATATTACCTACCACTGAAAATTGAATGATGACTCAAAAACATAATAGAATAAAGGAAGATTTACATACCACTCAATTCTCATGTATTTACATATCTAACACCTAAACTTCAATTTTTATATAAATACCACCTTCCATAAGCATGAAAAGGTTTATTTCGCATTTTAAAGTTAGAATGATGGAATTTTCTATGTTACTTGAAAGCTTTAGCTGGTTTGAATGTACAAAGCTATGTTTAGGTGTTAGAAATGTAAGAACATAAAAATTGGGTGGCATGTATGTAAATGCCCCTAGAATATAACAATGGTATGAGTGTCCATATGATTCAAATGTGATGCAAACAACTCTAAACTAATGTGGCTTTTTTGTACAAGTGTTAATACATTGATATCACTGTCATTGCCGGTCCCAAGCCCGGATCTGAAAAGCGGAAGGTTGTGTTAGGTAGTCGACAGCCAGCATAAAACTTGTCGAAAAAATCATGACAATCTTTTTTATCATTGTGTAAGTGCTAGGGCGTCCCCTGGAAGCGACGCGTCTAATCTTTTTTATCATTGTGTAAGTGCTAGGGCGTCTTCCAGACAAAATACAGTGAAAAGTGTGCAAGTGTCGCTACACCAGCGTCCGGGTGTAGTGTCAAATAAGCAAAGGTTCCCACATTACGGATGAATGCGGGTAAAGAAGTTAATCCATGAAACGAATATTAGGATGGGATCATGGAATATAGGTACTCTCAATGGTAAATTAATGGAATTAGTTGATATTTTGATTCATAGGAAAATTAACATCTTATGCATTCAAGAAACTAAATGAGTTGGAGAAAAGGCTAAGGAGATTGATGATTTAGGTTTTAAACTTTGGTATTCTGATAAGAGTCGCGCTAGAAATGGTCTAGGTGTAATTATAGATAAGAGTTTGAAATATAATGTTGTAAAAATTAATAGAGTTGGAGATAGAATTATAGCCCTTAAGATTATCATTGATACTAAGATTTTTAATATTATAAGTGTTTATGCTCCTCAAGTAGGTTCAGATATAAGGTCTAAAGATAATTTTTAGAATGACTTAGAAGACTTAGTACAAATGATACCTCTTGAAAAAATAATTTTTATTGGAGGAGATTTAAATGGACATGTCGGTAGAGTGGCATGAGACTTCAGAAATACTCATAGTGGCTACAGTTTTAGAGTAACTAATGAAAAGGTAGAGCTATTTTAAATTTTGCTTTAGCGTATGATTTTGTTATTACTAATATTTTATTCAAGAAGAGATGTGAACATCTTATTACTTATAAGAGTGGATCTAATAAAACACAAATTGATTATTTTCTTATGAGAAAAAGATATCGTCGCGATTGTAAAGATTGTAAGGTCATTCCAAGTGAAAATTTAAGTACCCAACATCGTTTATTAGTTTTAAATTTTAAGAT